GCCCCATGAGGAAGTTGTCGGGCTTGACGTCCCGGTGTATGAAGTTCTTGGAGTGGATGTACTCAATGCGGCTAATCTGAGGACAGTGGGTGGGTGAGAAGAACAAGAGCAAGTCACTCAGCAAGCGTTCCACAGTAAGGCCTTCACCAAGCGCTCTGGGCCAGGCCCTGGACTGGGGCTGAGGACTCGGGCCAGAGATGGAAAACACATACATGGTCCCTGCCCTGGGCAGGGGAGAAAGATCTGTCTGTCTGCAACTATGTAAGATAGTTTCAAAGGGCAGGTCAGGGAATGCTTCCTGGAGGAGGTGACATGAGAGAGGAACTCTGAAGGAGACGTTCACCAAGTTTACTGGGAGTCAGGACAAGAGAGCAAGGTAAGGAAGCTAATGGTGAGATCTGAAAACGAAGCCCAGAAAGGCCCCTCCAGAAGCCTCGTTTGCCTGGCTCTACACCCTCACAGGACTTGGAGAGCCAGAGTCAGAGAGCCACTTCAGAGGTTGCTCTGGCAACCAGATGGGGGAAGGGAGAAGACGAAGCACCAATGAAACCTAAACTTAGAAAGGGTGACAGAGATGAAGCACAAAAGACAGGATTTGTCCCCTGGCTTCCAAAGTACAACAAAGCCAGGCACATGCACAGGCCCTTCTTTAAACAATTTGAAAAAAAAAACAAAAAAAAAAACAAAAACAAAAAAACCCCACCCAAAACCTTAATTAACATATAAATATACGCTCACTATATATGTCCCCTGGCAGGTCAGTCCCTCTCTTGGGCTCAGGCTTCTATAAATCAAAGGCTTCATTGGGCCTGGCTGAGTGTTTTAAACCTTTCATGAGTGTCACATCCTGAGAACCTGACAGCCCTTCTCGGCGTACATACATTTAGTCTAAAATTGCAGGATGTTTGCAGACTTTCTGCAAACCGGCCACAGACCCAGACCTCCGTGAAACAATCTCCACGTGCCATTCCAAGTCGAAAAGACTATGCTTTTATATTTTTAAAAAGCCTTTCCTCCCTTGAGCTTACAAAGTGCTTTAGGATCTAAGGACTGCTCATCAGTGGGCACCTGCTCTGGTCCGGGAACCGTGTGGTGTCCCACCTGACC